GCAGTAGTAGTAGTAGTAGTAGTAGTAGTAGTAGTCGTACTAGTCGTAGTAGTACTAGTAGTAGCAGTAGCAGTAGCAGTAGCAGTAGCAGTAGCAGTAGCAGTAGCAGTAGCAGTAGCAGTAGCCGTAGCGGTAGCGGTAGCAGTAGCAGTAGCAGTAGCAGAGGCAACATCAACGACCACGACAAAGATGACGGGGAAAGCCACAAAAAGAAACGAAGAAAACATGTCAGATAGCACTATTGGCATTCTCATTGACCCAGTGCATGCCGATGTGTTGCCAGTCTGCAGCACGATCCCCATTGATTTTGAGTTTACTGTATTTATTGTTTGGACCATGATAATATCCTTATATGTTGCTTCCTTTCCTTGGATGGCTTTGACTGAGTCAGTACTACAGCCAGCCAGATTTGTTCCTAACTTGATACCAGTTATCATCATGGAAGCAAAGGAAGAACTATAGCGGACTACTGTTGGCCTAAACAATCCCCGTCCAGCACCCTACACTTTTCAAACATGGCGCCTCGCATTTTCAGAATCCTTGATGGAACCCATGTAAAACGCATCTGGGCCCCGATAAGATAATCTAAACCTACCCCCGAGTCCCGAGCAGCCCCGAAACCCTGAGCTGCAACCCCTAAAATCCAAGCCCCAATGCTATAATTCCGTCTGGTACCCTTGTAGGAACCCTGCTAGTATCCCTTAAAGGGGCTCGAAACCCTGGCCGAGGTCTCCTGGGCTGACATACTCGGGAGCCGGCGAAGCTCACCCTTCAGCATGACCTGGTTGGGCATCAAACGGTTGAGGGTCAACCACCCCTACCCCTGAACCCTAAAGCACCCTAAGCCCTAAACCTTAAAGCATCTCAAACCCAGAACCCCAAACCCTAAACCCTAAAGCACCCTAAGCCCTAAACCCTCAACTAAGCACCTCAAACCCTGAACCCTAAACCCTAAACCCTGAACCCCAAGCCCTAAACCCTAAACCCTGAACCCCACACCCTAAACCCTAAACCCTAAACCGTGAACCCCAAACCCTAAACCCTGAACCCTGAACCCCAAACCTGAACCCCAAACCCTGAACCCCAAACCCTAAAGCCTAAACCCTAAACCCTAAACCCTAAACCCTCAAGCACCTCAAACCCTGAACCCTAAACCCTAATCCCTGAACCCCAAGCCCTAAACCCTAAACCCTAAACCCTAAACCCTAAACCCTAAACCCTGAACCCCAAACCCTAAAGCCTAAACCCTAAAGCTCCAAGGGAAGCCCCAAATGCGCGAAAAAAAGGGCTTGGGGCTTAGGAGGGCTTTAGGGATTTAGGGGTTTAGGGTGTAGGGGTTTAGGGTTTAGGGTTTAGGGTTTAGGGTTTAGGGTTTAGGGTTTGGGATTCAGGGTTTAGGGTTTAGCGCATCAGACCAAAAAATGGCGAAAATCTTTGTAACCCCCTTATACAACTTTGCATAAACCCTGTAGGGACCCTCTGAGACCTTGTTTAAAGAACACCTGCAAAACTCCATTTAAACCTAAACCCCAAACCTCGTAAGCCCTCCATACCCTCCAGCCCCCGTTTGAAGGACCCCACTAAACCCTAAACCCCAAACCCGAAGGCACCTTAAACCCTGAACCCTGAACCCCAAACCCTAAACCCTAAACTTTAGGCTTTAGGCTTAGGCTTTAAAGGACCCTTAAAGGCGGCGGCTGCGGCCTTCGTCTCTAAGGCGATGTCCAGGTGGCCCAATACGGAACTTATCGGGCTCCCGTTGCCTTCAAAAGAGGGGACAGAGGGTTTGGGGCTTAGGGTTTAGG